ATATGTGTTGGGAAGTTTTATTGCCTAAGGCTCAAGTTCTCTAAACTTGAGTGTACCTCAGAATCTTCCAGAGGGCCTGTTAGAACATGGACTACCAGGCCTAGAGTTTCTGAGTCAGTCCATCTTGGGTGCAGCCTGAAGATTGGTTGTGTTTCTAGTAAGTTCCCAGATGCTGCTCTAAGATCACATTTTGAGGGCCACTGGCCTATGCAGATGGCCTACCCAGTAACTTAGCCCGGTGGTTCCCAAACTGTGCTGCATTTTGGAATCACCTGGCTATCTTTAAAAATAAATACTGATGCTTAGCTCCTAGGCCCACACATTCTGATTTAACTGGTGTAGGTGCATCATTATTTGTAAAAATTCCCCAGGTACTTCTAATATGTAGCAAAGTTAAGGGACCACTGACCTAGCCTCACTTGTCCTTGACCCTAAGACCTATCACCACCCTCTTCAGCTGCCCACTGCTGGGGCTACAGGGGGAACTTGTTGTCTACTAGCAGAGCTCCAAGCACCTCTTTCCAGCCCTCCTGCTCCCACTGTCTCAGTACACCTGCTCCGAGAGACGAGAACTCATCACGTCTCTTACTTGCCTTCTCCTTTTTCATCCAGTCTTTCATCTCCTTCCATACTCAATAATATGGTATAATTATTGCAACCATCCCTTGCCTACAGCCAATACACCATTCCCCTTGTTCTTTCTTTGACCATATCTATTTAAGAAAGTCTGAGAAGGAGTATCTAAATCAAACTGCACACATGAAAGTCCAAGGAGACTTCTCAAAGTTGATGATGATTGAGCTGAGTTTTGATAGATAAGTAAACATGGAGAGGGCATTTCAAGCAGGAGTACAGCATATGAAGAGGCACGAGGAGGGAAATAGTCAGGTTTACCTGGAGAACTACAATTGTTATGTATATCTGGAGCAGATACTAACCTTATGGTGTCAGGAAATAAAACTGCAGGGCCAGCCTCTTGCTAGATGGGTATGGGCCTTGAGCATCAAGCCAGGGAGTTTACATCATCTTTACAAGTATGAAGAGCAGTTGATAGGTTTTTTACATGACACTTGGAAAAGCATGAAGTAGAAAACAATGATCACCTTTAACCTAATTGCCCAGAACTTACCACTGTTAAGATTTTAGAGGATTTGTGCCTTTTTTTCTATTCATATTCTTACATAGTTGACAGCATGCTAAATTTATATCCCACCTTCATACCTAACATCATATACATGCATATTTATTGGTTTTGAGACTTTATAGTATTTTAATTGAAGCATAATACTCTATCATATAGATACTCTATAAATTATTTACTGTCATACAGGGGGACGTCAGGGAGGGGGAAATTTCACTGTTATTCACTATTATCATCCAGTTATGGATGTTTGTATGAACTTAGCTTCTGTTAAGGATTTCTTGTGACCAATAGTGAGAATGAAATTCATCAATTTTCATGAATTAACCATGAAAGTTTTAAACACTTACTGTCAAATTTCTTTCCAAAAAGCTTTCTGCCAGTGTACACTATCATCCTTTAAAAAGAATGCTCCTTTCTTCTTCTCTTCCCAGGACTTGGTGTTACAGTCAGTGCCACTGAAGGAGTTTTGGTATGGGGGTGACATGCAGATTTGCATTTATAAAATCACATACTAGAGTCTGAATCAAGTGGGCCAGACTGGGACTGCTATTGCTGTCTTTGATGGTCCTCCTTTGCTTCCATATTCTCCTTTTCCCATTTTTCATCTTTTTTTCTTTCTTAGCATACATTGTTAACTGCATACAAGCACAAGACTTGTTACCAAGAGCAGTGCTGAAAATCTGTGGTTGTAACAAGCTTGTGGTGAGCCCAGAGACTCTGTTTTCTAGTTCTATCAAAAAAACAACCTCTGGATAGTAATTCTCCCTAGTTTGAAATATTTTTTTATATTTTCCAATGAAATTGTCAAGTGAGTTTACTCTTAATTTATTTCTTCATTCTGTGTATATCTAAGCCTGCCAGTCATCATCCTCCCCCTGGAATGTCCTCCTCCTCCTCATTCTTAACCTAGCAAATTACCTTGGCATTCATCCTTCAAGAACTTCTCTAAATGTCTGTGACACTTTCCTTCCATACCTTCCATCCAGTCAGCATCAGTTACTCAGCCCTGCTTCCTATAGTCCAATTGCAGCATTTTCTGTACCTAACACTTTTTCTCCCTCTTGGCCAAGAGTCTTTAGAGAGTAGAACATTTTGCATCCCCAGTTCTTAACAGTGTCTGACACTTGGTTGCTACTCAGTAACTGTTGAAAGAATGAATGACTGAATTAATCAGTTCCTGTTTTACTAAGGTGCATGAACATTCCATCCTAAACACTAATGAGATGAAGAGTGTAAAGACAGTATGGAGATGATATGAACTGCCAAAACCACACTCTGAATCATTGGTACCTAGGGTAAAACAGACACCCTGTGTACCAGGTGTCCTGATCCTGGATTCTAAATTCTGAACATTAATTGTTCTGTATGCCTGGATATTGACTTGCATCCTGTTCTTTTTCATTTAACCCCAAATTTAATTTGTGCATAAGTATCACTGTGCTAAAGGAAGTAAAGAGAATTAAGTGATTCCAGAATTTTCCAGTGTATGTTCAAAAGAAAACTACCATGGACTGTTTATAGGTATCACACAAAAGAAGAGTCTCATGGTCTAAAGTTAAATAGATTTCTTTACCTCCAAATTTCCTGGTAGGCCTTCTAAAGAGTTGAAAGAAAGATCGGGTAGGCAATGTAAAGAAATAGAAGAACAGTCAAGTCTTCCTACAGTAGTAGATTGGAGTCATCCTAGCCTCTTTATGCTAGGGAAGATTCAGAGTCCAAATTCAAAGGCAGAATAACAAGTATACCAAGATCCTGGCCCCTTCCCCTACATTTATCTCCTCAGTTCCACAGTTGTGTAAACCCCTGCCCCCAACCCACCCACCATGCTGATGAGATAATCCTTTATTACTTCTCTTCTTCTCTTCTAGAGCCAGGAAGCAAGGTAATGTGTGGGAAATGATAACAACTTTAGAGTTAAAGACATTCAACAGGGCAATTTGATAAAAGACCAAGACACTGTAAAAGCTGAAACCCTTGAGTCCATTAAGTCCTCTCTCCTTAGAACATTTTGTTACCAGGGAAGGAGGGAAAGCACTGTCAGATAGGAAGCCTGGTACAAAAAGCAGCATTTTACAAGACATCTGTCCCATTACCACTAGAGAAACCTCTAGAAAGTTCTACTCTTTTCTCCTCCTTTATTCTACCCTACTGTAACTCCCCGCCCTCCACACCCCTGGACACACTCTGTATATTCCTCTCCTCACTTAGGCTCTTCCTCCTCCTTCCCCCTCATCTCTCTCTCTCATTCATAACTGACGTTGGTTTCACAGTTTAAATGACACAGGAATAAGCTGAGACTATCCAATGGTTTTTCAACACTCTTTGGTAGGAAGGGAACTAATTAAGTAAGTGACTAGAGGTTTAGACATTTGTTGTTTATTGGATCCAAACTCCTTAAAAAAGCCTGGAACATTCCCCTAAATAAACATTGGCCTTTCATGGCTTCTCCTTCCAAGTATAAAGGAGATGGAAAGTTTAAGAGACAGTATCTCTTCACAGATGTGTAAAAGAGTACCAGAGAAGGAGAATGGGAGTATGGATGGATGTAGAGGGGAAAGCTATGTGCCTGTCACAAAAAGACTAATGCAATTTGTGTATCTGTTGGCAGTAATTTCCATCAGTGATCATCAATGTTAGACTGCAATGATGGTGACCCATATATGGTCAGCCCAGTGGTTTGTTTAACTGTCTTCCTTAGAAATACATGTATCAAGAGAATGTTTTTTAAAAATAGTTTGTCTTCTAAACAAAAAAAAAAGACAAACCCAAATATCTCCTGTCCAATCTTAACAAACACTACTACACTAAACCAGGAGGCACCTTAGAAGACAGAAGCCATCTGTTAAATAAATAAAAGCACTAACATAGATACAATTTTCTAGTGCGTGGATGTTAATAGGGTGTTAGTGGTTAGCTATAGCCTATGAGAAAAGTACCTTTGCCTTAGTAGGCAAAGGAATGGAAACTTTTAAAGAATCTGCCTTTTTATTTTGTTTCTGTTTTAAATAAATAAAACTTGTGTTGTAAAAGTGAGTCTTGGGCCCAGCATCAAACTTGATCTGGCCATTGCTTTCACAGGAAACTGGGAAGCACAACCTAAGCCTCAGAAGCTCTGAAAAAAGGACTTCCTCCAGGGGCTAAATCAGAAGTAACTGCCACCATGGGAGGCCATCGAGTCTCTGTGACTTTGAACCTAACACTCAGATTTTCTGTCCATCTTTTTTTTTTACCGCAGACCCAGAATAATTTGGTGTAGGTGAAATATTCTTTTGCTTGGCTCAGATTAGGCACCTGGTGTCCTGAAAGAGGTCACTGATTTCCCCAAGGAGGCCCAAGGAGGTTGGGTCACCACTGGTTTACCGCAGGCCACATTTGAGGTTAATTAACCATCAGTCATTGTCAGTGCCAAGATGTTATTCAGACATTCAGCAAAGAGAAACTTGATCCAGCTATGGATAATGACCTTCATCAACATTCCTTCCTATCTTAATCCCAAACCAATGTGTCTTTAGCTGCATTGGGCGGTTGAAAGTTATTTCAGAACTGGCTGGCTCATCATGTCTGTTATTCCATATGTGAAAAGGCTTTGATATGCCAACTTAACCATTGGATGCCCACTAATAAATAATATTCTGAATCAAAACCTTTTTTCACTAGAACTGAGTTTCTGTTCATGAAAAGGCACATTTATAGACTTTTGGGGAAATTCCCTATTTATAATTGGTCTGAAAATGCTGTTTGGTGGGAGATACTGACAGCTTTAGGCTGGCCGTCTGGAGACCGGGCCTTCTGGCTGCAACCAGCCTGAGGAACAGAGACATGTGTGTGCACTTCTCCTGCTTTTCTTACTCTGCAGACCTCAGTGACCAGCTCCTTGAAGCGGTGGGGCTCGAGGGAGCCATGGAGATGGGGCAGATCTACACTGGCCTGAAGAGTGCGGGCAGAAGGCTGGCCCAGTGCTCCTCTGTCACCATCAGGTATACTTCCTCAAGACCCAGCAGCCCCTGAGTCTCCCCACCTCCCTTGACAGTCACACAGACAGCAGCTAGGAAGCCAACTTTGGATTTCAGTGCAGGGAGAGTGGGGACAGAAGCCTGACAACATTTGTAAAGACTGTCTGTGGAGATCTTATCCCAAACTGGATGTAATACCACCATCCAGGACATCAGCTAGAAGGTCCACTACAACCAGTTTGCTGTTCTCTTCGAATGCATTGGTGAAATTCTCTAAACCGGAGTGGAAGAGTGTGAGGTCCAGAGAACCAGAGGCCCAACTCCTTCCCTTTTTTCTTGTTACAAATAAAATGTTAGATGTATACCAGAAGGCTCACTGATAAAAACCAGGTTCTCTGTCCAGCTCTGCTCTTCCTGGGATAGTGGCCTTAGAAATACTATTTCCTGTTTGCCTTTGTAGAACTAAACAATCAACGTCGGCAAACCTGCTGTAACTGACCAGGAGGTTGATACTCTTCAGGGTATGGACACATAGGTCAACCACTGCAGGCTCCTGGAAGAGATGGACTGATGGAGGGAATCCTCAGATTTCAGTTGCTTCTGTTTAATCATTGCAACTAATCAGATTCTTCTCCATCTGATTATTTCAGAAGTTTTTATTCCTTTCCTTTTCCCATTCAATTTATACAGATCAAATCTATTAGTGTGCCTAGAGGGGACCACAGCATGCAGGTTTCCCAAAGCTATTTGACCACAGACCCTTTTTCTCCCAGAACCTCTTGGGTGAGTGTCCTAAGAGCACTTTTAGGGCAACTGCTCTTGGTGCTACCCTGCATCCCTCAGAAAGGTCCCCAGAGCTGGTTCCCTGATATCTCTTAGCTGAGGGTCTATCCCACTGGCTCCTGTTCTTCCCTCTTCTCTGTGTCTTCTCTGAATTTTCTATTATTCCCCCACAGCTTTGCTCCTCTTTCTTTTCTCTCTGGGCTACTGTTGTATGTGGCCCTGTTTTCCATATTAATCTCTGTACTTCCCTCCCTGTCCATTCTCCTTGATTCTAACAATGCATAGGCCCAGTCTACTAGCACATCAAAGCCATACCTTATGTATACCATGGAGAACATGGCATCTTGATCCTGGAGGAATGAAACAGGCCCTGGATGAGAGACTTCTTTCTCATATCCAGTAGACTGATTTCCAGGTAGAAACAGAGGAATTGAGCCAGGAGTCCCATCCTCCTGGGTATCTCTCAGTGACTCTCCTCAGCCCCAAGAACAAAAATGCCACCCTCTCCTATTATTTGTTTCATCATTAGGTTTATTGTTTCTTCTTATTAAATATCCTCAGGGTCAGTTAGAGGATCATCTATATCAAAACATATCTGGCTTCCCTCATTTATAGCTTCCAAAACAAGGCAGATGGCAAACCAGGGTAAGGGCTTCCTGGCCAGTTGGTGGCAACTGTCCCCTGCTTGCCCAGGCGAGATGCCTCCAAAAGGACCTGCCTTTTCTCCAGAAGGCAACATAGTACAAATGCACAACACTTCTACAGAAGCAAGTCAGATCTCATCACTCTCCTTTTAAGAATCCATATACCAGAGAAGCCTCGTCCCAATCAAGAGGGCAACAATTCTCCTCTCCTCTCCTCTTACCCAGGAGACAATATTCCTAATGAGCCCATTTCTCAGCTAATCCAGGCCCACAGTCCCTGCAACCACAGAGTGTACTGTTGTTCAAGAGATAAAAGGGGATGGCTAGGATCAGCAGCAAGGCAAGACACACTCAGACCTGAGCTGCACCTTATTTATAGGTTGGAGACATTACCTCAGTGACATGATGCAGCCTCTCACTCCACACAGTAACCAGGCCTTTGCCCTTTTCATAACCTTTCCCATTTCTCAGAGTCTTTGGCATGGCCTCCAGGCCCATTGGCTGATTGCTTGAGGGCCTTCTCACCAGGGGTGCTGTTGTACTGATTGGTTGCTGTGTCCCAGACTTCTAGGGACTTCACTGCTCACCCATGGCAGTGTTCCTCAAAGTAAGGGCTGGAGCAAAAGAACCACCCACACTGCTTGTGAAAATGCATATCTCTGGGCCTGTTCCCAGACCTGCCAAGTTGGAATCCCTGAGGTGTGTTCAGAAATCTGTTTGTAGCAACCTCCCCAGGAAAGTCTAAGAGAACCACTTCTAAGTGGGCAGATGAGGTCTTCCCACTTCTGTTTCCCTGACTCCCCAACTCCATGAAGCTCACTGTGTCCTCTTGGTTATTGGATTATAGGACAAACAAGCTGCTGCCAATGCAAGTGGATGGAGAGCCCTGGATGCAGCCACCTTGCACGGTGAGTTCTGCCAGTCTTTGAGCTGAGGATGAACTTTATTTGGGGCCCCTTCTGGGCACTGACTTCATATGAACTCACTGACTGAAGCACTTGCAGGGGCATTGGGAGATCATCTAGTGCAACCTGTCTTTCACTTTATTCATCCACCCATTCATTTACCTGCTGAGCTTTTATGGAGTACTTGCTATGTGACAGGCACCAGGAGGCACCAGTTCCAATGATAAATAGACCCATCTGGAGAGAGTTCACAACACTACTTGATAATTTGAGACTTCAGCTACAGTATGCTTTGAGAGCCTCAGCTTGAATCGTTGCAGTGGCAGGGAACTTACCCCACAAAAGGAAGATTGTTGTGCTGATAAACATCTCTAATTGTTAGAAAGTATGTAGAATCCAAACCTGCACGCTTACCCTGGAACTTCCACCCAGATACTGTGACCGCTGGAGCTCCTGGGGAGAATTCCCATAGTGCAGAGATGCACCTCATCACCGGTACCCCCCCCTCCACTGCAGCCCTGAGGCCCTGCCTAAAAATGCCACTGCAAGGGAAACCACGCAAATTTCCTGTTTTGTGTAGGGCATTTTCAGCCAGTGCCTAGCACCATAGCTGGTTTGTATGGTTGCACAATAATATTTGTTGAACAGTGAGTGAGGGACTTAACAAATAAACAAACAAAAGCCAAGGGAACATTCCCCATCCCTATAGGTACTTACCTTACCTATGTGAACTCTCCTTTTAGCACCACTACAGGAGACATTGCACGCTTCCTTTTTAGTTCCTTCTTAGAAACCCAGCAAAAAACTCTATGATGAAAAGAAACCACTGTCCTCATATACACAGCTGAGGGTCTTCACTGGGATATCGCATTAGTAACGTCCTCGATCCTATCAAGAATGTCAAACCTCGGAAGACAAAATAGTGTTTTGAAGCTTCCTCACTCTGGTGGAGTGTTCAACCATCTCAGTAACTAACCTACTATTCTGAACCCTTCAGAACATCAAGGTTTCTTCTACAGAGCAAGGGCTTTCATGAGATTTCTACTGGGCCTGAATTTTAGGTCTATTTATATCACCCTTTGTTCTGCATGACCTCTACAAATTATAAAACTGGTCCCTAGAGACAGAGACTCTAAAGATGCAATCTTCTGTAAAGGTTATCAAGTCTTACCTCCATCTTCTGGTTTCCATGAAGACTAAGAAAAAAATGAAAACACACTAGAGCAAAAACTAATAATAGCTTACCACCTTGTTAGAATTAGAAAGGATGGAGAAAATTTCTACTACTTATAACTCTGATGGAACTGAATTGAGAAAAATCTATCCAAGCTCCTCCTGTCTCCTAAAAAAAGTTGGGAGAAATCAAACCCCCTCACACCTGGCTCAGTGATATCCAACAACTCGATTGTCATTCTTCTTAATCTAAGCACTTGTTTTTGAAATAACCAAATATTCCTCCTATCCCCACTCCCACCCTCTCTCCATGCCACCCTTCAGAGACTACAACTCACTATGAAAAAAATCTGTGACCCAATGATTTTTACAGTATACAGTCCATGGAAATCCACATGTAAAAGTGTATTATCAGCTGGGCCTGCCATCACAAAATTGCACAGATAGGGTGACACAAACAACAAAAATTTATTTTCTCGCAGTTCTGGTGGCTGGAAGTCCATGACTGCGGCACCAGCAGGGTTGCTTTGTGGTGAGGCCTTTCTTCCTTACTTGGAGACAGCCACCTTCTCACTGGGTCCTTAATGGCCTGTCCCCTGCATGAGCAATCCTGTGTCTCTTCTTCCTGTGTGGTCACAGTCTTATTGGATTAGGGCCCCACCCTTATGGCTTCATTTAACCTTAATTACCTCTTTACAGATCCTCTCTCCAAATACAATCACATGGGGAGTTAGGGCTTCAGCAGGTAACAGAAAGTCGTTCTTAAACTTGCAAGAGTTAAAACAAAAGTACCTTTGTGGAAACATTTTCCTGAAGGCACACACAATCAAAGAATGATTCAGAATTAAAGGCTTAATGTAGGGGCATCACAACACAAAAGAACTGGTAAAAATTGAAATCAGTAAATCAGAAAAACGTAAAACAAAAACTGTTAAATACACTTGTACAACTAAATGCAAATGACAAAAATCATTCTTTGAAAGTGGAGATATGTAATGTAAATATTAATAAGCTGGATCCCAAACCTAGGGTTATATTAACCAAGGCTGAAAGCATGTGGGAGACATTGTTGAAGGAACTGTAAAAATATGCTAAATTTTTCATTGTTTTGGCTCACTTTTGATAATTAAAAAGTATAAATCAGAGGAAAATTTTAATAATTAGATAATCACTAGTTAAACTGCAAATAGGGCACACACCTTTCACATCTGGGAGAATTTTTAATTTATGAACCTATAATTGTATCAGAAGATAGAAAGCCAATAGTAAGAAAACACTTAAAACATTTTGAAGCAAGATGTAAGAGGTTAAGACAACAATAAGGACCAAAAAATCCCATAAAGTCACTATTAAAAGAATAATACTCTTCTAGTGAGTTAAATATTAAAATCCAATGTTATGCTTCTTATGAGAAATATATCTAAAACAAAGGGACATATGTATCTTTTTGTTTTATCCCTTATCACCCTTAAGAAAAGTAAGAAATGATATTGTTAATTACATTAATTTTAGGCAAACTAATTTTCCAATATTCCAAAAGCATGAAGTAGAATAAAGAAGGTCACTTTTTATTTGATAAAAATTACACTCAATTATGAGGTATAACAGTCATAAAATGTTAGGTATCTAATTACAGAATCAAAATATATATATACTGTGAAAAACAGTATTGATACATAATTTGAGAAAAAATAGATATATATGAAGTTGACAGACAAATATTGAGATGCTTTAAAATATTCTTTTCTGCCTTTGAGGTCAAGAAGCATAAAACTTGGATGAAATTAAAACCTATAAACAAATATCTCATTTTTTTCAAGGATCCATTGACTATTTACTAACATAGATCATAAATAGTTCACAAAGAAAAAATATGTCTAAAATTCAGAAGCAGAAATTATAAAGGTTACTTTATTTGACCACAAAAGCAATAAAACTAGAAGTTAATAGTAGAAAATTAAATGAATACACAAATTAATCCAATCACTCAGAAGGTTTTAAATGTTCCTTAAGAACATAAGATTCAAGAGGAGACCAAAACCACTATTATTAATTATTTAAAATAATAAAAATTAAAAGTTCTAATTTAAAACTCATAGAATATAAACTAAACTGCATTTGGAAGTAAATTCAAAGTGTCATATACTCCATCATTTAAAAAGGAAAAAAATGTAATGAGTAATTCCAAAATTAGGAGAACAATAATAAAACAAATTTAGGAGAAGAAGGAAGAAGAAAATAATGGAGATAAAAGTGGAAATTAAATACTTAAAAAGCAGAAAAATCTAATACTAGTTCCTTAAACATGTGAAATGTTTGAAAACCTAATTTTAAAAAGAGAAAAACAGACTTCAGAGATATTAAAATATAAAAATATATAAGAAATGCAATAAATATAAATATGTTAATGGGTTTAATTATAAGACATTATTGACATATATAACCATCTTGATTCTAATAAATTTGAACATCTTATGAAAATCATAGGTAACCATTAGTGAAATGGTTTCAAAGATTTATATCCAAAATGATCTTAAAACAGTCTTACTGGTGAGTTCTTCCATTAGAAAGTTCTACCATTAGAAAATAAATATTTATGTAAATTCCACAGTATAAACAGAATAGAAAGCTCCTCAGTCCATCTCATGAAATTATGACAGATAGAAAAACCTAACAAAAAGTATACCTAAAAGTAGAAAACTACTGACCAACCTCAAATATGAAGCCAATACAAAAATTCTAATTAAAGTATTATTCGATAGAACTGAACAATATATTAAAAGAATCATTCACTCTTCAAAATCATCATATCAAAGGAACAGAAGGAAGTCTTCTAATATTAGGTTAGATAGAAAAATTACATGATAATATGAATACTTGACCCAAAAATATTCTGATTTTTAAAGAAAAAACTGTTAGGAAATTATGACCAGAAAAAATACTCTCTCAAAATAATAAAAAATACCTCTCATAAGCCAATAACTAATATTTTACTTACTAGTAAAACACTAGAGGAATTCTCATTAAAATCATTGACAAGACATGCATGCTAACATTGTTTTGGAGTTCTAGCCAATGCAATACACATTAAGCAGAAAAGAAATATAACTGTTTGGAAGAATCAAAGCTGTCATTATTTACAGATACAATAATTGCATACATAGGAAGCTAATAGAATCAACTGAACACCTGATAGGTTAAATTACTTCAGTGAAGTCCTGTGGAAAGATAGATAGACAAAAGTTAATGGCTTTTATATATACCGATAATAACCAGTCAGGAGCATATAACAGAAAAAAGTTAAAATATCATAATAGCAACAACTGAAACAAAATACTAAGCTGAACTGTGAAAAAAAGACAAAGAAGATTATAAGACTTAAACAGTATTTTTAGCAGATTTGAATTTAGAAATCCGACGTTTCTAAATTGGGGTCCCAAACAAAATCCCAATACAATTGTTTTTATAACTTGATAGAATAATGCAGTAGCTAAGGCATTTTATGAAAGAACTAGGAGGAAAGATGTCCCGTAAGATATTAAAATAATTACAGAACCACAATAATTGGCACAATATTGGATAGATCAATCAATAGTGCAGAGGAAAACCCTAAGAAATCCTAGCATGCATAAAAACTAATGAAGAAAAAATGAAAGATCATAAATTAATTTGAAAAGAATGGACTGTTTAACATACGGTACCCAAGAAATTGCCAAGTTGAGGAAATGTCATTATATATACCAACCTCTAACATCAGTGTATACCCCAAAAACAAAAACAAAAACAAACAAACTCCAATTAAATCATTGTTACTAGCTAGTAGGGAAAAC